GATCCGATACGACACGAAGGTCCCTCTACCTCCTACCAGGTGCACGGGTAGAGATAGTCCACAAAAAGGATTAACCCCCGCATCATCGTGAACCTTAGGAAAAGCGCTTGTTCTCAAGCGTTCTCCAAAGTAACCGTACTTTCTCGAGGGTACGTGTGTGAGCCGGCCTTAAGATTTTAAGAACACTTTCGCTTCCTGGCTACACCTCTCACGAGGAGTGTCAGCCGAGTGGCCCGCACCTTCGCGGGGCTGAACTCAAAGGAATATTTGAGTATGTGTATCTTTCCCAGAGGCCATCGTTCGCAGTCATTGTAAACCAGCGTACGCGATGGCAGTCTGCCCACTTTACAAGGATCTTGAAACGTGTATTATGTTTGAATTGGATCTGAATCGCGAACTATGCCACACTCGTTTCAGAAACTGTTGATTACAGAGTGATATTACGGAGTACGATTACTTTATCAAATCTCAAAAGAATTGTTTTAGGGGGGTGTCTGAACAGTGGACCGCGTGGATCTTTATGGAAAATAAAAATTGTCAAGGTTAAATTCAAAATCAAGGGAATAGTTAACAGTAAATCTACCATAAGGAAAAATGATTGGTGCGCATTACCACGTAAAAGTAATTAGAATATCCGCTTAAATTGTACCTGAATGAATTAGGAAAATATATGGTGGTATCATTTTGGAAACTTTTATAATTTTATTATAATTATAATTTTAATTATAATATATAATTTTATTATAATTTTTATAATCTTATTCAACTTCAATTGTATAGGATATTAATGCATTATACAAGATATGCACAAATAATATAAAATAGAGATTTAATTTACAGTTAAGGAAATACAATCGAAGTATTTGCAAAAATAATATTATTCATTAATTTTGTAGTTTTCATTGTAATACTTGCTCCAATGATATAATTTAGCCAATCATTTTCCATGAAAGCGTCTTTAGAGTATTGATCAAATGAGAAGCTGAGGTTTAATCTTAAACTCTTCCGATGTTTGCACTCTTCTGACGCATTTGATCTATCCGTCTTTTTCGTAAATGCATCAAATTCGCAGTCGACTAATCAGCGACTCCTATCGAATCGGTGCTCGGATGGGGCCGTTTCGAACCGATTTGTTCGTTCTGAAACACCCTGTAGACGCGACGACCGTGACAGTGACGTACCGGGTGTATCACGGGGGCGAGTTAATTACCATTCGACCGAATGCGACGAAGAGAGGCGCCCGTAGTAGGTGGCCCGTCAACAAGTTGCAGAACGCGCGCGCCAAGCCTCGCAACCGGTTCCACATAGGAGAGCCTAACGTTCACCGCATTCGAGCGCGAGTTTAACAGCGAGCCGAGCGGTTTTTCGCGCGGTTCGTTTTTCTCTTTAATGTATTCGCGAAACGTATTCCGGTCTGTTCTCTCCCTCCTCTTCGTGTGCGCCGAGCCGCCGGCGTTTTTTCCCCGGCACGAGTTTTCATTTTCGCTCGTTCGAACGCGGGTCACGTCCGAGTATCCTCGGTTACGTCAGTTTTCCGGCTTCCACGCGGAATCGCGGCAATTACCGGCGATCTTCTGGAATTGCCGCCGAGGTTTTCGGCCGGTTTACGCGAAGGTTGACCATCGCAGCCCTCTCGGAAATGGCATAAAAGGTCCTGCGGTAATGCTTGCAATTCGCGTGTTCAAGTAACGAATTATGTTTCGTTTCCGACGTCTGCGCTATAACTAGATATTTTCCAACGTAACGATTCGTCCACGTTCTCTAGACGCTAGATCAATTGTCCTAGGTGTCTCTAAAACGGTCCTCTTCGCAGTTCCTTTTTAAAAAAATCGACATGCGATTAAAACTCTCTTCTTCTTTTTCTAACATACTCGCATTCACTGCGTTTTGGTCACTTTTACACGCGAATGTCCACATTTCTAGCCGATATTTATCAACGAAAAAATTAGTGAACATTCCACGATACACAAGATAAATTACCGTAGAAGTTTCGAACAAGGATTTCTTAATAGCATATCTCATTTTTTACCGTAATCAGTACATTTCAGTCACTTTTATACATGACAGCTTATATTTCTACCAGATATTTTTCTAGAGATTTTACTAGAGATTCAAAAAATCAACTCTCAACAGTTCCTTTAAAACAGCTTGCACAAGCTTTTGCTCTAAGCGCGTTTCGACCGATTTCACAACGTTCGCACTGCAAAGATAAAAAAATGCCGAATACCGATCTCTGTTCGGTACGAATTCTTGTTTCGTTCGCGCCAACTCGCCTAAACAGCGGTATCGTGCCCCGGTCCCGAAACAAATTGGACCAGGCAGAAACAAGTCGGACGATCGCGTCGGACTCGATTCGTTCGTGTTTCGATTTAGAACGAGTACACCTGGGGGAGGGGGTGAGCGAGGTGGGAAGGGGGGGTCGTGGGTTTATTGCGAGTTAATTCAACGTGGCCGACCGACCGTCAACGGTTCTATCGCGACGCGGACAATGCGATATCTGGCAGCATCGAACCGTTTTTTTGTCGGCGGTTCGATTGGTACACGAACAATGCTGGTTTCCGCGGAAACTGCGCGCCAGAACGGAAACGGTTGGTCGCAACCGGCACCCCGAGTGACGTCACCGCGGCCGTTACAAAAGCTTTTGGTTATCGGGGAACAGTCGAGGATCGGAGGAAGCCTCAAGGACGAGGTGAACTCCGTCCCACGGGCGGCCGAGTCGTCGCCGTTTCGGTTGGGAACCGTTCCTCCACCGGAAGATACTTACCTTCCTCAATAAAAGATTACGAGCTCGTTGATTCGCGAGCCGATAAAGTGGGCAGATTGAATTTCAAGCTTCGCAGATTGGAACGCGAAATTATTGGTTCGTATCATGTAGACGTTAACTTCTCTGAGAATCAATTGTAACGATCCGTGTGTCATCCCGGTGACTCACCGTTCGATTGCACTTTTGGCAACATTTCATCCGACAAGAAGATTCAAAGAATTTAGAAGTACATACATACATTGTTTCTAAGCTGTCGAAACGATTATTAGAGAGCAGACTGCGGATCTTTCTGCGAAATAAAAGTTGTCTGCGTCGATTGAAGAAAAGATAAGTTGGGTGCAAATCTCTTTCCTCCTTTAATAATTGTATTAAATCGAACGTAAGCTGTCCTTCTAATATCTTTACAGTTTTGTATTTGATCTATTCATTTTTTGTTTACTTGAAGTCAGAGCAATTTAACGAAATTTGTTACACCGTACACGGCTGCCAGTGAACGCGTTGAAGAGTTCACTGAAAGCTTAAAGACCGATTCGAGCCGTTGATGTTCTACGGGGTGAAACCGATCTCGGCGACGTCCCGAAAATCGTTTCTAAAGGAAGAGGAGCGCACAAATGCTCCTTTGTCCCGCGGGGCAAAGAGCGTCACGCTTTTGTTCGGCTTTTTACGCAACGAGACAAAGGTAGTCTACTTCTTTCGCCACCTCTGCCCTCTTTCACCTGGTCAAAGTGGATTATCGCGGGCTTTGTGATACGGCACGGGCGCCGAAAATCGGCAAACTCGCTTTTATCCACCTTCTGCTCACTGGGTAACCTTGAAAACGTTGATTAAAACGGAACTGGAATTCGAACTGCGGATCAACCCCCCAAAAAAATTTAAAGACCAAGTATAAAAACCAAAGTATAAAGACCAAAGATACTTTCAAAGCTTGCGATTTCAAAATTGATTAAATTTCTTCGATTCGAACTATTTCTTCCTTTGTTCTAGAATTATTTATTTGTTCAAACAATGGTCTGATAATAACGTTTAAAATAATTCCATAAGATTGAAAAGGATGCGATCAGAGCCGCAGAAACCGGCTAAAATTCTGACAATCTTTTCAATCAGAATTATCGTAAAATTGTACGCCGATCCAAACGCAAATGTGTGACTGCAAAACTACACAGCAATCAAGATGTTAATTTCAAGCCTTTCGAACTCTGTTTTTGTTACTTTTGGAAATCAAGGAACCGCAAATGATTCTTGCCGCGCGCGCAGCCGTACAACAACTATGCGTAACATTATGCGCGTATTCTTGGCCTCGGGTTCAGCAGTTATCCGAGAAAAGGAAGTCGCGGATGCAGTGGGCCATGAACGTTATAAAATAAGTGTATTATCACGTAAACGGATACGCCACGGAACCGTTACGGTAACTGAGGCAGAAGGTGTACCGGGCACGCCATGAAATAACTGGCACAGCCGCGTGTTCATGGGACGAATAATTCAAATGGTTGTACAGATTTCCAAAGAATCGAATCCTCCCAAGATATATACATATGTACCCCTTCCGTTAATACTCCGTAACGATACAATTCCTACGAATTTATCTCGTACGCGAGATCGGATTGAAACAATGAAAATGTTTTCTTTTCCCCGCGGTTTGAATCTGTTCGAAGCATCGTCGGGACGGTGAAGGAAAAAAAATCATTTGCTCGATTCACTTGACGGTAATAATCTGCGAAAGCAAGCCCGAGCGAGATCCAGTTATACTCGGTCTGTGTTAAAGTTACGCTCTGTAAGCAAGAAACATAATCACAAAGAGCGGTATTACTGTTACAAAAGTTAAGGTCGCTGAAACACGGTGCAACTGAAATATTACGTAACTCGTGTAATTCTCTCTTGGCGGTCGGAATTATTGCTGGCGGGGCGGGGAAAAAAGTCGAAAAGCTACTGGTAAAACGTCGCGTTGTCCGTTTCGCCGTCGGACAAGCCTGTTAATTTGCTCGATATGAAAAAGTACGTCGGGCACAGGACGCATGCGCGGCATCTCGAAATATTTTTCTGTATTCGTAGGATAGTAGACAGCCGACGGCGTTCCTCGCGCACACAGCAGGCCAATCGAACACGCTCGTCGCGAATTGCTGATACAGTGTTAAAAGCCGTTCGCATAACTCCGACTAAGAAGTTTCATGTTACCTCTGAATTAGCCTGTCGCCGTGTCGCACGCTCTCTCAACGAACGATCTGTAACGTTTTTTCAGATGTCTTGGCAAAGAGTCTACCTTGCCCTGGGACTGTTCGGTCTAGCGCTGCTCCTGACCAACGCCGACAACAGCGTGCACATTCTGTCAAAGTATCAACTGGTCACCTCGACTACCCTTAACTGGCTGCCGCGTGCGCACTATGATCCATCGAGGGAAATAGTGATCGGCGGCTTTGAGATCGAGACCGAAGGTGCGTTCAACTGGGATCAGAAACAATAATCGCTGATTTTACGCGCTCGAATCTGCAAACGTGTTAAGCATTTCAAAATTCGCGATCGTGATCGCTGACACCGTTCGACAATCGGCAATCTAGCATCGAGGTGTCTTGCGATTGGTAACGATTGGTATCCCTGCGAGAAGAAACCGCTAAATCTACCGAGAACTAAAAATGACCGACGTGTAAGAATGATAACGCTAGATTTACCTAGACTTGGTGCCATTTTTATTATTAAAGTTTGCTCTAATTAAGAAATTTATTAAATCAATTCCAAAAATTGTGATAGGCTTAGGTGTTAAAGACTTTTGTACCCCAAGCTGTTTAACCGGCTAATTTATTCAACGGTATACAAGTCATATAAAAATATACATATTCGATGGTTGATTTAGCGTGATTTCTGCGCACGAAGATGACTTTTCTCTCGACGCTACAGCGTCGCCGCATTTTTCCTTCTGCAGTGATACCAACCGCCACTCAAAGCCAGAGTAAAACTTTATTCCCGCCTAATGGTACAGAGTTCCTTCCCGCCTTCCGTCTCGGTGAACTTGAATCGCGATTGTCTCCACCCTCGGAGTCTAGACGCGTTTTTAACGATTGTCAACATCTCGCAGAGGATTTGCACAACCAGGCGGAGAAACCGGTGAAGAAGCCGCTGTATGTGTGCCGGGCGTTGCACACCACGGTCTGGGTAGCTGGTAGCCAGAAAGGCGACGAGAAACGATGCACGGTGACAATTCACGGCAGCGTGCAGTCGTACGATAAATACGAATTGCTGGAGAACGTCGACAATGCCGGCCGCGTCAACTGGGAGTACTGGGACAAATACAAGCCGACTCCCATAGGAGCGGTGGCCACGGAAAAGATGTTCGTAGCTCGTCACAGGGTTCACAATGACAAGGACGGCGCAGACGGCGCGCCGCGATACACCCATTATATCGGAACCTTGAATTCATACGACAACCTCGGCTCTATCAGCTACGTGAAAGATGTGAGTAATTGCTGTACACACAGGTGATGATTGTGTGCAAGAACACTGACTGCAAGTGTTTACAATACAGTCAGAGTCTATTAAACATTATTAACGATTTGCCTATAACTCATGATTTAATCGCTAAGTTACATAGGATAACGTAATCTATGTAATGTCCCTTTGTAAGTAAAGTGTTAAAAGTAATTTTGAGTAATAGTTTGAAGTAGCACAACTGTTAATAGAATATTATTTTTGTACCAGGATGGCACGGAGGGAAGCGAAAAGTCTGGTGATGTTCTGGTCGAAACAGAGCCAATATATTACAATCTGACAAGAGTTAAATTGCACTGGCCTAAAAAGCGTGCAATGAAGCATACACCCAGTATATTGGGGGAAGCAACGATTGCTAATAATGGACAGGAAGGTGCAATCGTGGCACAAGCCTTTGGCTATACGTATAATTATTCTGTGTACTGGGGGCAGGGCCATGCTATCTTGAAGGGTCTGAATACATCGATTACTTTAACAAATGGAACAGCTTTGCCGAAAGTAATGTGGGGTACGAAGGAAGAAAGTAATCGCAGCGATGTTTATACGTGAGTGTTCTCCATGTATATTTCTCCGAAGTTACGTTATTCCCTTGATCTGTCTAATTTCGTTGTTGTTGACAGGGTGGAGATATTTTTGGAGCCTGGTACAGCAATAAACGTTACTCTGAAAGCTACTTACTCTGACATGGAAGTACCCTACTCAGGAACATTGATCTCTTATTATGAAGACGGAGAAACAAGATCCCGTGGGATCAGCGGTATACGTAGAGAAGAAAGCATGTTTGACATAACTCCAGTATTCGGACCTATTTACTTCTTAAGTAATTATAGCTTAGTTCCTACTACAATTGTACCGCCCACTACCGAAGCAAGTACCACTACGACAGTACATGAATACAGCAAGCAACCCCGTAAAACGGATATGGAAAACGAAGACCATGATGAAAATATGATAGTACCGCCGAAGAAGTCGGATATGAATATACAAAGCGATGACGGTGGTCCCTTGTCACTTAAAAACAAGGTAGAAGCTTCGCATTCTGGAACATGTTTACATACATTAAACATTATATTTATACCTCTATTAACGATCGTCGTCCATAGAATTACGTGAAAATACGACTCTTAAGAAGTCCTAAGTTGCAATAGTAATATATTCGTAGAGCAATATTGAAGAAAGATAACAAAAACAACAAAAAAAAGAAAAGAAATTGAAAAAAAATTAAAATGTTGCTGTAATTTCGTACATAGCAATTATGGCACGAAATAAAGCTCCTTGGTTAAATCGCTGACTATCGGGCTGTGATGTCAGCGCTGACATGCTTGCCTTTCGAGAAAACTTGATATTTAATATATATATATAATTTAATATATATATTATATTATATATATATACATAAAAATATATATATATACACGTTTAGGATATTGAAGAAATACCTTAATGATGAGCTAGTCTCATGACAATGTTAAGTACAAGCGACCGCAGCCAATGTAAATGTTAACAGAAGATTCGTTAACATTACCTTTATTGTTGAATAACTGAATGTAACTACGACATTCCGTCTTTACTAATTCCGCTGTGGAAACGATTCTCCAGCTAATCTATTTTATGCCTTTGCAAAGTGTAATTCTAGACACCCTCTAGAAGAACTTCGAATGGAAAGCTTGAAAACGAATGACATCTTCTTTCAAGGTTCGACTCAAAGAGAATTGTAATTACGGCAGGTATTGTCTCGGGCAACTAGCTTATAAATGAGATCAGGGGAGTAAAAACGACAATGAAGGATAAAGAGATGTGAGAGTTAACGCAGCTACGATATATTTTTGAGATTGCAGTATAATTTTAGAAAATTGTAAGATTTATAATGGCATAGCAAGTAAGAATACGTAGATAACAGGTAGATGGGTACAACTATTTTCCAAAGCTATTTTAATATCGTTTACGTGACTGATGTAAATTGCATAGAATCTGCCATATAAGAGTAATAGAACTGAAGTGAAGTAACTTCAAGGATGAGTCAGAATTTAACCATGTACAGAGTCTGAGTAATATTCAACAAAACTTTAAATTCTTAAATTATTAACGCTTTGTTATAAAATCAATACAACATCTAGAGTACTATGTACCCATCTGTCTCCCATGTAAAGTGATAGGGCTTGCAGATTCCTAGATTACTATTAATGGAAATTGTAATGGAAGAGGAATGCAGTATTTTACTTTTGTATAGATGCGTTAATAATTTGTAAGTTATACTTTCTTTGATAAGTCAAAGAGAAATATGGACTTATTTAATTTTGTGTTTAATTTAAACGTGCTTTTATTAAAGCACATAACAAAAGAAATGATATTTTCATATATTCTTGTATTTTCGATCATTTTTACTTGAAAAATTTTTACTTGGTATGTACATAATATGTTTCTACATTCTTGCTAGACATAATTGTTGTACACTTATTTAACCATTTAATAGTTTTCGCCTGATATTGGTATTGATACTGTATGATTATCATGTATTTTATTCTATTGTAGTACCTATCAAAGTAACATGAAATATTTACTTCAGACAGGAACAAATGTCCAGATGTGTTTGTAAGAGTATGCATCAAGGTAAGCCTAATCACAATATTGTGATACTCAATGAAATTTT